GAAACAGGTTGGACACGCGAAAAGGGGACACGCGACCAGAGACTGTGCCAACCTGCCCGGCCCTACCTACTTATAATTAAACACATTCACACCAGAAAGTAAGCTACCTATCCTAAACAGTCGCCCTATATTTAAAAAATGGCAAAACAGGCACACCAACACATTCATTCAACGATTCTCACACATACCACTCGGGCGCGACCTAAACTAGAGAGACGTCCCGGGACACCTCCGACACCCGAGTTTAACACACAACTTTCACACTCTAATTTACGTACCATTTTTCCTGAAATCGACTGATGACCGCTAGCGACCATTGTGTAAAATCAGAGATGCAGAAAAGTATGATACATTTCAATTTCAAATTTAATTTTTTTTTTAATTAAACACTCGTTGCATTAATTGTAAATCATATGTAAATATATTATCTGAGGAAACGATATTATCGACATAGATGGTACGAAATTTAAATATCACTTAAATGTCATTATTATATTATGTCATACATCGTTGTCGTACCGATTCTAAAGCTTATTGACTTTGTTCAAAATTATATTGTTTAAAATAACAGTAAAAACGACGCAATTCCACAGCCTAACACACATACACACATTGTGGAAAATACGTCGTGCACGATACACTAACGCATCATCAGTCGCTAAGAAATTGTTAAGCTTATAAACTATGATCATCATGCCCATTGCCTCTCTCCCACCCAAGTAGCACCTGGGCACGTGAGTGAAGTCGTGGCAATGAACACGGAAGGGGTTAAACCTGAAAATCCTGACTAAAAAATAATTAATATATCCATTTTGTATCTAACGTTCTAACATTTACGTTATGTTATTTAATTTGAAATTTTTATTCTTATTTTAAAAATTTAATCTACCTCACAAATTTGTTACTTTGTTACTTTGTTAATTTCATTAATTACTGAAATGCATAATTTGAATAAAAGAACAATTAATACATTTACTGAAAAACGAATTGAAATTCAAAAAGTAATGTCATATGCTAAATATTAATGGAAATATCCTCAGGTGATTCCTTCAATCAAAGCACGTCTTTAAAAACATAAAAGCAGTGTTCAAACCTCGTTGCTTTGATTCCAAAATCTACCTGTCGCGAAGTGTTTTCTTGCACGTAAGAAATACATTCTTGAACGAGTAAAATTCTTGTTTCAAAGAAACAAATTTCTCTTGAATTTTATAGAGATTCATATTGAAAATCATATTGTTACAAGTATCATCATTAACATCATAATAATTTCAATTACATAATTGTAATTTTCACAGAAACTGAAGATGGTATCCGACTTCTCTACTACAAAATACTTATTCAAAATCATTTGAATATTCATCATTTAGTCATCTTATATTCTTATGGACATTTAATCTTTCCGAACAATTATATTGTATATTTAATTATAATCTTCATTATTCATATCAATTTTTTTTAATTATTTAATATTATATCAATATTATACTCATACTTGTCAACAATTTAAAACGCGATGTGCAAGAAAACCTATCCTGAACTAATAAATAAAACAAAAACAAGAAAATATTACTACACATGGGTATAATGAATACCCATGGTCACTGTGCTCGTAAAAAATTCTACGTATACAACTCGTCACCCGTGTCGATTTGGACCTTTCATCCTACGACATGATTGAGTGACAAGAGGAACAGAAATGCATGCGACTCACAGTTGAAGCAAGAATGTTGTCAGTAACCAGGAAGATTCTCAGATAGAAATCACAGAATTATATGGAAGGAAAAGATCTGTAACAAAATATAGAATATCACAATTTATTCTCAAAAACATATTATTTGATTAATGATCAAGATAAAATGCAAGAAACAAAATTAATTGATATGCAATATACAAAGATACTCACATTTTAAAATTTGACAGTATCACCAGATCTATTACAGAGTAGAGACATGTAAAGGTTGTAAAAAACCTGTAGCAAAATGTGAAATATTACAATTTGTTCCCAGAAACATAGTGTTGATTATATATAAACAATTGAATTAATTGAAGTGCTATATGCCACAATGCTTACACTTTTTTGCTTTTAAAACTTTATTAGACCTCTCTCTGCAAATCTTTTGTGATGAACCTATAATAAAACATGAAATATTACAATATGTTTCAAAACAAAATTCCTAAAAAATGTGAAACAATTCAAAATTTTATATCATAATTTGAAGCACAATATAAAAGATACTTACGCTTTTGATCTCCTGACGAGACTGAATCCTCTTGAGGTGATTTTAATAAACCGAAAACGAATATTAATAGAATATATGAAATAAAAAAAGAAAAAAATAATCAACGCGACCGTTTAATTTACAATCGGCGAACAAACACTGACTCTAATTTCGCGTATGACTATTGGATTTAATGAGAGCTATTTGTTCTAAAAAAAATATTAAAAAACATTACGCAAAAAACACTGATTCTATCGATCGCATTGCACGCGATCACAAAAATTTTCTGAAAATAAAACTACATTAACAAAAGAGGATGGGAAAATGGCGAGTGTTTATTCCGGAAAATACTATTATTTTTCTATATTTAATTATTGTAAACTTTTTGTCGATGAAACAAAATTATATTAAAAAAATAAATTCTATAACAATTACAAAAATAAAAATTTCTTAGATGAAGCATAATAATATCGTTGGAAACCGCGGCTACTTTTAAATCAAAACATGTCTGAACGTACTTACTACAGTGGCGCCCTCATGGATTCTAAAAACTGTTAACTGTAATACTACGAGATTGCTATTGAAAAATTCAAACTTTTCCGAATGACTATGTTGAATTACTAAAAATTCTATTTAATTAAATATAAATCGAATCCAAAAAATGACTTGAAATAAAAAATTAACTTGAACTGTATTTCTAATTTCTTGACTGAATTTCTAATTTCGTCTCAGTATTCTCAGTAGAAATTATAAAATTATATTTCAGTATAAATCAAATACTTATCCATAGTTCAATAAAATTATATTATCCATAGTTCAATAAAAAGACAATAGATATATATATATACATACGTCTGCCTAGATTAAATCAAATGTTATTAAATTTGTCTTTGAAAGTAATACCATTGAAGTAGTTATAATGTAATCTGCATTAATTCAAGCCATCTCTGCTATCAATCAATGATCTGCACAAAAAAACCAAAGATCATGAAACTACAAAACTAAAATAAATTATTAAAATGAAGCATTAAATAAATTCGTATTCCATCTCAAAAACTTATGATATGATGAAAAAAATTATAGATATTAAAAAATTATAGAATGTTATTACAATTATGTTTAATAAGCTATTGAATAAATGTGTATTAATTAAACTAACCTAATAGTAATTTGTGATGGATAATAACAGCAATTAAAGTATGATGTAATTGAAATTAAATACTTTGAACAATGAAATACGTGCTGCCGCTATGCTTTCCAATAAGAGAATAACGTTCCCCGCCAAAATCTGGCTTAGCTGGTTTCTGATTGGTTGAGACGGCGCAGCTTCACTTACGTAAATGCGCGCGAAATTGAACGTCGCAAAAATTTTCTTATTCGACCAAAAAATATTATAATATTATACAATACTATATTATTAAAAAAATTATAATAAATATTTTAACTTTAAAGTATAAAAAATAATAAAATATAAAGTAATAATAAAGAAAACAGATTTGAAATTATTATGACTTTGTACTACGAACATCATGTATTGTTTAAATTTTAAAAATTTCTTTTAAAATAAAATAAATAAATTTAATGTTTCAAATATATTCATTTATTAAATTTTTAAAAAAATTTTTTATTGTTTTTATTAAAAAAGATTTATTTACAATTATAAATAATTGATATATCATTAGTATAACAATGATTTAGCATAGAAAAGTATTTCACTCTTATACACATGATCGACATCCGCTTTTCTTTGCCACGATCTTTCAGAAAAATTTCTTGAAACTGCAACGATTGCAACGAACGCAGCTATATTTATATCATGCACTGTAAGTTTATTATTTTACATATTAAGTATTTGAGATTATATAGGTTAGATATTCAATCTACTCCGGGTATATAAGAAATTAACTATTAAAATCATATTTAACAATTATTTGTTAAATATATCTTTTCTGAAATGTAAGATTTTAAGTGAACAAATTGAATTAAAATTTTCATTATTTTTATGTAATTACTGTATCTCCATTCTTGTTTAATAGAACAATGAAACAAATCAAAGGAAAAAATCGAGAAATGTGAAGGTGGGAATATTGATGAAAATTTATGGTGTGCACATGACTCAATCACATGTTCCAGTTTCGTTGAGTATTTTACAATCAAATATTTTTTTTACAATCATGCTTTATTCCTCATGACAGTTTTGTTTTTCACGCGAGATAAGAACAAAACAAGTTAACGTAATCCACATGTAACATCACATGTGAAAAAGAACAAAATTATTCGTTTTTGTTCCTTTCCTTTCTTTTCAAGTAAAGAATGAAAATAAAAAAGACGTATATGTATAAAATTTATTCTATTTCCATATCACAATCTGTAGATTGGTTATTTTCACCTAAATCAGTTGATTTACTTAATAAACTCTCCTTGTTTTCTGGCCTAATTTCTTTAGAAGGATTTTCTGCTTTTTCTTGAATTTTTGTTTGCATATCTTTGCTTTCTTTTGACTCTTTACTTGCTTTCAGTAATGCTTCATTTAAATGTTTCTTACCAAATCTTCTAAATTTAAAATTACTCATGTATTTTAATTCACCATTCCAATTCCTTAACATCTCACACTGAGTTTCATTCAAAATATCAGGAATTTCTGGAACAAGGAAAATTTGTACATTAGCACATATTAAAAATAAGTTTAATTGTAGTTTTTACCTATTCCGCATGTATTGTATTCTTCTTGTTCTCTTTCTTTGGTCATCCTAATGACATCTTCCCTACTAGCATGCTGTCTATTCCTTTTAGCACCGATAGATCTTTTGATAATAATTTGTTCCATTTCTTCATCATTTCTTGCTATATACCTTTAACACAAAATTATAACTAATTATATTATTAATTTATAATCTGTTTTACCTAATAAAATTTTTGTTTTACCTACGTTTCTAACAAATGTGCAGTTAACTCTGGAGTATATGGACACACATCTGAAACCATGTGTTCTTTGATCCATAACATTTTCTCTCCTATTAAATTCTGTTTTATTATACCATTCATTTTTGATTTCTGTCTATTTAATATTCTGAAACAAAGTATACATTTATTACATTTATTAATATGAAAAATATAGAATGAATAAAAAAATATATAATGAATAAAATATATGTAGAAAACCACTAGATTTAACAGTAATTCAACTTACTTTTTAGCTCTTTTTGCAATGGCAATAGACTTTCTGCTATTTGGATGTGTCATTTTTTTCGCTTTCAAAAATTCTTTCCTCATTGCAGTAGCCTAGAAAATAATACACTCAAACAAATACTCTATAATCTATTCATAGTATTTTAAATTTGTATTTCGTATGATATAAATTAACAATAGTCTTACCATGTCTATGAATTACTTTGATTAATATTTTAACCTTCAAGTACCATGTGTTTATTTACTATAAGTATCACTGGTACTTATAGTGGCGACGCCTATCGAGAGTAAAGGTAACATCGAGATACATGTACCTTTCCTAACATTTCCGATTCAAACTTCAAAATTTATTTCTTCTGTTTCGACATGTTCCTAGCTATTATTTTAAATATTATAATGATAACCTATTTTAGAGTGTTTAATTTTTAATAAACGCGTATTAATAAAATTTTACATGAAAAAAGCTCTTTGGAATCTATATTCAACGAACAGAAAACGAAAATTTAGAAGTGAACAATGGGAATGAAAGTATTTATCGTAATACTACTTCTACTGATTTTAATGTCGGATGGAACGGGTTTTGGTAGAAAAAGATCCGCTAAATGCCGCAGGGACAATAAACAGATTTTAAGTAAAAGCGGCCAGAATTCAACATCCGATTATTATTATTACTGTGACCCAACGGAATTTGGAATAGTACAAAAGATCCCGTATTTGCGCTGTTGTTCGCCATGTGACACAATAGAAATCGATTTCTCTTCCGCTTGTATTAGATGCGGAATGTGTCTTGCCATTGCTGAAAAGGTTAATCCTTCCTCATCATTCTCGTCTATTTATGTCTCTTTATTCGCATATTTTTTTTTTTAGATATATATATATATATATATATATATATATATATATATATATATATATATATAACAATTTCATATAAATTTTTAAAATTTATTGATATTCGTTTTCATATAAGAAATATCGAACTTGTACTTTTCAGATAAACCAAACGTTGCTAGATGTTCACGAAGTGTTGCCTAATGCATATTTAAACGATATGGAAATTGAACTTCTTCTGAGAACTATCTGTGATCATTCTTTTCAATTGTAAATGTTTGATAAGTTCTAAAAATTATACAGAAATATGAAAAATGCAAACTATTCATTAACATTAACTTTCGGATTACGAATGCCAAATCATTTCAATCCATCATAAATTTTTGGACTTTTGTGTGAAATTTGTTGTTGTTATTTTTTATATGAATTTATTATATAATAATTTTTTATATAAATTTATTTATGTACAATATCCGGAATATGTGTTCCGTCAGGCGATTACTAACGAATATATAACCCGGCATCCGTTGAGTAAATATTAAACGAATAAAATACTGTGTAAATCTGCCTAAAATACATGGTTCGTTAATGAAAAAGAAAGAGAAATGATCTATGATTTTTTTCACAGCTACGGCCTTCGTGAACTAAACGGAAAAAGATATATTTCTGACAAAGTACCTGGTTCTATTATAGTGTCCACATCCGCTGATGGACTTTGGGGAAAAAGGTCATTAAACATAAGTATATTCTACGCACGTACTTCTTTTAACATCTAATTTTATTTAGATTGAGCGATCTTTGTCATTATTATCTGGATGAAATCGGAGAAGTTTCATTATACCAGCAATGGCAACAATGGTGTAACGACAGTGATAAATTTCCCGATTTGTCCAACATCATTTGTCGGTAATACAAGAAATAAAATTTTCATTTCTAATGACATAATATTTATTAACAAAGTTTCTCACGCGTTTACATGATTTTAGAAGCGTACATAGTATATTGCGAGATTGTAGAAGCATGGAGAACGTAGAGAAGTACGAATCTCCGTTTAAAATCTACAACGCCAAAGTAAAAATCACAGCAGCTTATAAATATGGAAAACGTGGTTGAAGATAATATTTTTAGTGAAGAAAATAATATTTGATATTATTTTATTTTTGAATTATAATACTGCATGTACATAATATGTATGCATATAATGTGCTTCACACACATTGATCGATCTTGATTAATTTAGGCTATTAGTTACAAGTTTTGTTAGATATGACAAAATAACAAGTTTAAGTTAGTTACAAATTTGTGCTGGTTATTGTAAGGAATGAAATGGAAATATACAAAAGAACAATTGGCAGCGAAATTGATTTGAGTGGATAGATTCTGGATTATTCCGTTTACAAATTTTCAAACGTGAATTTACTTGCGATCTTTAAAAAATCTTGGTTTTCGATGTCACAAGTCTACAAAAGTATTTTATAATACTAATTTTAAATACTTATATTCTAATATTACTTGGATGAAAAATCTAATATACGTTTACATGAAAATTACAAGGTAAATTTTCTTTATAAAAACGCATGCTCGATGAAGCGGATTAAAAAAAATATTGAATATTTATAATAACATTCAAATATATGTCCAAGTTATGAATGCAAAGAAGTCACTAGAAATTTTTACACGTCAATGGCGCATTTAAACATCTAACATTTTTTTCTTGAATATAAATCGACTTTTGCAATTATTATCATAAAGTTAAAAGCGCATAAATAATTTGTGATATGGACATATTTTAAAATTACTTTTAGTTAGATATTTATGCACATCTTTCGTCATGATTAGATAACTTATTATCAGGTTTTTCATAGGTCTCAATCTATTTTCGAATGCGAAAATTTTTTTTCTTTTTGCACATAAGCAATTGTATTGTTAAAAGTGTTAAAAGCAATGACAAGACGATTTCTTGAAGAGATAACTCAGTCATCATTTCTGCAACATCCTGCACGAGTGATAAAAAATTCCGAAATCATACTTTCTGATTTCCTTCGACTTAATCTTCCTCAGAATCTTTTAAAAAGAGAGACAAAGAATTTAAATTTCTAAAAGAATTAGAAAAAATTAGTCGAAATTAATCAAACAGAATCAATCCATTCAGAAATTCTCAATTTCAGTTTAGTCTCAAACAGAATCAGCTGTCGCAATTTAGAGATCAGAAGCAATTTCTCATATACATAACGAAATTTATCTGACAACTAGTCAGCAAAAAATTAGACTCAGTTATTTCTCACATCAATGATCCTTCATGGCAAGGATCTGAATAAAATAATCTAAATCGTCACGAATTATAATCCAACATATCTTCACACCTTGCACATACATCTTATATATCGCATATTTCATCTTATATACTTACATATATAAGATATAATTTAAGTTTTATTTATTCAACTCAAAAAAACACGACAAAGAGACAACTTTGTCACAAAAATATTTCATTTCTAACTTCTGAAGTACATCGACCGATGTGTCAAAAATATCTATAATTTTACACTTTTCCGAAAGCAATTTGTTAACAATCATCGTTAACATTTTAACAGCTTGTTCAAGTGTTTAATCATTGATATGAAAATGAAGAGACTTTTTGAAAATGACAATAGCCATTCTTGGAGGATGAGCATTTTTCATGATATTTTTCTGAATTAATTTCTCGTAAAAATGTTTTAAATGTAACACTCTTTCCAGTTACTGATGGAAAGGAAAAGTCGTGTTACTCTTCTGATTTCTGTCAAGCATCTTTATTGACAGTCCCGCTCGTTTGAAATTATTGCGTTTCCTCCAACTGAAGAATTTCGGTTCGAAGCAAGGTTGATCGATCTCTTCGTCCAAATCTGTATAGTGTTCTTGATTCTTTCTGTGGACAATTTCTACTCGTGAATTGTGCGCAGAAACAGCAGAACTTGAAGGGAAGTGTTCGTCGTTAGAGAAATCGGTCCGACGAGGCTCACGTGAATGCAAATGCGGCAAATGAGGAAGATGTGAGAAACGAGGTAAATGTGGCAGATGCGGCAGGTGAGATGGCATCAGGTGATGTTGACGCATTCCACGAACGATCGTTTCCTTCATTTGTCGCCTCTTGTGCCAAATTCTCTCGACGACCCAGATGGAAACGGCCGATACGCTTCCGGCGATCAAGATGAAAAAGGCAGAGTAAACGTCGGCGAGTCTTGCACTGTGAAATGTGGTCGGCGATTTACATCGAGGCATCTCTGGTAACATTCGTTCTGTTATTCTGTTCAGAACGCCTCGTTCTCGTATTTTCAGAATGCTGCAAAAAAAAGAAAAAAAAAAAAGCATATCATTTCGGTTAACAGCCGAGGGATCGCTACATTCTTCTCGGTGACATAATAGATCTTATCGGTCACGTACTTCAAATTAATAATTTTTTTATAAGGGCAAGAATTAGCCATCGGCAGAGCCACCATTGTGAACGTTTGCGGAAGAGGTAATTCTTTCAGAGTACATCGTTCTTGAATCAAAGTGGATCTGAGGGCGCGTCGTGCGAGAGTTGCACTTACGAAAAAGCCATAATGCCCTTTCACAGCCTTTGTAAGACCGGAAGTAGTATCCAACTTAGATTCTCGGCTGTTATACGCTCTTATATACAACTGTCGGAGATTACTGTCATTCACATTCTGTGAAACAAACAAGAAAAGTACTTCGACAGTCACAAATTTGACATCATCTTTTATTACTTTTTAATAAACTCACTCTGATGTATTCGTCATCGGTGATGCTGTAGCCCAATTCGAAATTATGTGACAAAATATCGGTAATAGATTTGATACCAGTGGCCTGCACCGATAAGATTGAAGTAATAAAACCAGCATAGGCACTGTATGTTACCAAAGCGAACATCAGGCTAAATAATAATACTGTTTTCCCTGATGGATTCCACGGTGTCCATGCAGAACCTATCGGTCGGAATTCTTACTAAAATTCTTCCTAACGTCTACGATTTTTAAATCATTAGAAATTAACTAAGTTAATTGTTAAATTAGAAACGATAATTTCAAAGATAAGAATTACTGCGAGTTTCTCTTTCTTCTTCTTAAAAACCTGTAACTTACATATTACATATACATTATACATATTCAAGTCTGTAATTGTAAAACGTAGGAGCATTGTATTCTTCAACTAATGTGACGTAGGTCAAATCAGTGATAATATAAGGGAACACACCTTGCATACACATTATGCTGATGCACCAGAGCGCAGCCTCCCCAATTTCAACACGGTTTGCTTCCTCATTGTGTAAAACAGTTTTCGCCGCGTAAATGATCAATCCCATCGTTACCAGAATGGCGAAATAAGTGGACGCGACGCAGCTTAGCAAGCAATTATTAAACGGTTGACGAAATATATCTCTCATAGTACCAGTTTCCAGTGGATGATAATAAATGTTCCTCCTATGTAAGAATATTCATTGTACAAAACAATGTTTTCGTTCGATTAACAATATACTGTGTATACTTCATATTGTGCAGATAGTCTCATAGGTTCTTGCACGAAATGTCAACAGAAATAGGAAGAAATTCATAAATGCTTCGTTTAAAAATATAAAATATTTTTGCGAGAGAAATGTCAATGAATATCAGGTTTGAAATATCAATTTAAGACGGAACTATAGGTATTCAACAGAATAAGTAAAGCGAAAATTCCGATATAATAATATAAATTAGAACAGTGAGAAGACTGGCAAACAGTTACTTATTTAGCATAGCAGGTTGATTTGTTAAATCAATAGCATAATATAGATAAATTCACCTCTGTATGTTATCTTTATACGATATATTATACAATGTTAATTTATTGGAAAAATTGAACATTAGTGTAATAAACTTAATCGACGTATAATGTAAGTTGTTTTCTTATATTTGTATCTGTAATATGTATTACGTGTTTACTTTATAATTTGATGTCATCATTATTATTTCCATCAAGTTCCATATTTTTCTTACAATTTTGTAACGAAATTTTTAAGAAATCTTTGTATCGAGCTTTCTTATTTTCAATAGTAAAGAGACGGATAGGAAAATTTGTACAAAAACCTAGGAGGTACATCCTGTATGTTTCCAAAAAATTGGCCATTGTTACTGGACTATGAGAGGCTAATCCGAAATCTGAAATATTCTCTCACATATAACGAATCAGAGGATGACTAAACGACATTTCCGCTTGTCGTTCTTTATTCACAGTAATATATCCCAGTCCAATGTCTACTTCTCCAGTGACGACATCTCCAAGCAGATTATTCCAAACTTTGTTATTCAAAGTACCTAATTTCTCGTGCGAGATGAGTTCGATGCTGCAAAAACGATTGATGAAGAAGTTTTATAAGAAGAAAACTTTTATGTTGATTGAAAAGGAAAACAGTTTATTAATAACAGAATGTTTGATCACTTTTAAATTGAAAATTGCAAAAAAAAAAGATCAAGATGCATTTGCTAATATATTTGCATAAACAAAGACGTTTTTACTACTTTATATAATGATCTTTGTTACGTAAAGATAGGAATTACAACTTCTGTCGCATAATAAAAAGCAACGAAGAAAAATATTCTGGTAAATACAAGTAAATTTGATTTTTTTATAAAACATCCGTTCGTTGATAACAACTGTGGAGGAGAAAATAACAATAGAGGAGAAAAAATTAACATGCGACGAGATACAGCAATAGGAGACATAATCGATGGAAAAAATATTCATATAATTATAATGTAGAAGATCTTGAATGTGAACTTAAAAAATTATAAATAGTTACATGCGGTGCGATCTCCACAGAACGTGATCATAAAAATGTCTTTCTTGGTTGTAATAATTCTGCCATTCCGCAGATGACGCAATGTACGACCATTTTTATAGCCATACTTTATAATTTACATTGTCCTTGTTTTCTTTTTATAATTTTTTTTGGATCATAACTTTTTTTATGCCCATTTTATAATAAATAATAAACAATTCATACTAGTGAGATAGATAATCTTATGACAAATATTCTTTATAATGAAATAGATAATTTTTTTTAATATTTATTTTTTCAGTTTATTACTTTCGATATAATTGTATATTTTCAAATTTATTCACTATTAAAAGTGATCAATTTTTTCCTTCTGGATAATCAATTTTTTCTTCTTTAATGAAAATTAAAACTTTCCCGGAGAGAATGTTTTTTAAAGTGAATACTTTACGAACTCAAAAACTTTTTATTTTCCATTTTATAAATCTGTAATATGCTAAATCTGTAATTACTGTAAGTCTCTTTATTAAATCAACATGTCAAAATATGTTGTAATAAATCAATTAAGAGAATCAAATAATTCAGATATTACCAATTTTTTTTTTTTTTTTGTAATACGAATGTTACTGTGTTGTGTAACGCTATAAAATTTTATGCGTATCCAAATATATTTAAGGTAGTATTAATTTTATCAAGATCTTTATATCAATAACCGATAATTTAAATTTCGTCGTTTTGATAGACTTTAGATAGGCTATACCTGAATTGTTCATTCAGCATCCAAAAATTGCCTATGATATATTCTTTTATCGCAATTCTGTTGTATTTGCATATTACCACGCGATAACTCTTATACGTACCATCGAATGGTCCAAAAGACATTTGCATACTCCGTTGCAAAATTCTACAAAAATTTTCCAAACAAGCTGTACTACTTACAGTACCTGGCGTTCACACTGCTGGTAACGAAATTAGCGAAATCGAGGAGCGGCGCGATATCATTTGCTTCCTCTTCGTTCGCGTCCATTTGTCGATCGATGGTTCCGTTCAGAACACCGAAGACGATCGGTTGTCCTTTGAACTCGTTCCGCAATTTCACGCTTATCGGGCTATTCAACGACCACGAATTCAGACACCAGGAACCAAGGAAATTCGTCACCAGACTACTATTATCCGAATAGCGGATTTTGTACGCATGAACGAAGTGAAAAAGCACCGTTTTGTTCTCGAGGATTGCATAATTCTGATTGATGGACGCGTTCTCGTCGAACTTCTTAATTGGTGGCTCCGGGAAATCGAAGCTCAACCAGTAGCGTTGCAGAGACGCGCATGTTCTGAAAAATACAGTGAAAACATAGAGAAACTAATGTGCGAGAACAGAGTTGGTAGACAACGCGGAAATGAAATTTCCAGTAAATGCAAAGATGAATTTCGAATTTTCGGTAAAACGTGGAAACGTTAAAAGTTTCCGATTAAAACTGACACGAGGTAACTGTATATGTACATGGAAATCGCGTAATTAGAATTTTAATAAATTAATATTTATGAGATATGTTGTGAAGTTATAAAGTAATGTAAAATGTTGAAATCAAAGATCAAATTAATATTTGACGCAGTGTATGTAACTCCAATTTAATATTCTCGATAAGCTTTAGTTGCGTGAAACGTGATTTCTCGACTATCATGCAGGGCCAAGGACAGCGATAGACAGAAGATAAACGAACTTTGAATTTTACAACATATCGAATTCTAAATAATTCGCTTCGAGCTGTAAAATCACTTTTCGACGTGAGACTTTACATTTTCGGGCTTTTAACTAGTCAAGTTCAAGGATGAGGTTCAACAAAATGTGCTAAAATGTGCTAAAATGTGCTAATTAATAACCAAAGTCAAATACATGTGCGTCGTTAAGCACAAGCTACCTGTTCCAGTATGTTCGAGACATTTCCTGAATCGCTTCGTACGTTAACGAAGGCGTTGCAACGATCACGTCGCTATCGATACCAATGTTCAAGTGTCGAAGCACCGTATCGATCGTCGCGTCCGTGTTCCTCATGGTTATCATCAGCCAGGACACGTAATAATTGAATTGAAACTTCTGCGATGCCTGCAATTCATTTGTCGTGGTGCATTTTTAACAAAATCTTCTGAAACGTCGGCGATTAGTTTTATTTTATTTTTACTTCAGTTTCATTCTTGTGGAAAGAATAGGTGTAGGTAGGGTTTGAAACTCTTTATAGTACCTACGATCCGTTTAATCCCTTACGTCAAGAATCATATTCACACCTACGACTTCTTTTATTAAATCTTTTTGTCATTAGATAACTTTCGGAATATTGCAGTTATAGAGAAGAGACGAATAAATTTTATAATAATTATAATAATTTAACTGTATCGAGTTTGAAGCGGCAGATTCATTTGCAACTGTCATCAGAAAAAGATAAGAGTACTACGTAGCAAGAATATGTAAACATTCTACTCCTATCGTAAACATTCACTTTATAAGTTCTTTTGAGTCAGAGTTGGGCACATTTTATTCGAACGTATAACGAATAACGAATAAAATACTGCCAAATTTATTCGTAAATAACGAATAACGATTTTATTCGAGAAAGAATTATTCGTTATTTACGAATAACGATTTTATTCGAGGAAAAATTTTACGAATAACGATTTCGAATAAAACTTCGAATAAAATTTTATTCGAAATATTTTCTGAAATACTATAAAGAAAAAGAATCAGTCCAAGAGGTGAGGCATGCAGTTAAGAGGCCGTGAAGCTTTAACTGCAGCTAGAAGACCGATCATGTAAACATTTTGTTACGTTTCCTAAAACGCATCTCGCCTCAATCCTAAAGATTGAAATATAACAGTAAGAAATAAACACTTCGCGATGAAGTTACCACTCCTTTCCATCGACTTTTCAGCGTCAGGAGAAAATGGAAAAGTGTCTTGGAAAAATCAGTCTGTATCGCATTAATTTTTCTAAAAACAAATGGCTAGCGTGCGTACCTTCTGAGAAACATGAGCAGTTAATATCGGTATTAAAAGAACGCATATTATCAACAATGGAAACCGAAGTACCTAGTGCAATAGTAACAGACAGTAACGAAAATGCGCAATTAAATACCTTTTTCGATTTCAGTCCGTATTCCACTTCAATCGGCCAACATTTACAAAACGAATGATAACGTAGAACTTCTTGTACAACAATATTTTACAGATAATGGAAATGATTACACATCTCTGAACGCATATCCCATAATTAAAAATATATTTTTGAAATATAACAATCCATTGCCATCTTCTGCTCCAGTAGAGCGTTTGTTTTTATTTGCGACGATAACAAACTCGCCTAAAGCAAACGGATTAATCAACAAAATGTTCGAACAAAAAATTGTACTAAAAGCAAATTTATTAAATAAACCAAAATTGTGAAAAAAAGGACTCGTGACCCTTTTTCTTTGCATTATTTCAGTAAATATTTCGAAGAAAATTTTCTTCGAAGAATTTATTTCCTTCGAAGTTTTATTCGAATAATGCCCAACTCTGTTTTGAGTATTATAAAGAATTGACGTAATATAAGCGGTATACTTTTAGATAGGGTATAAAAGATTTATACGAAGAATACAAAATAATTTTACGCGAAAGATTAATCAATCAGTCATAAAACAGTAGCGACACAACATAATACGAGAGTTTTAACTATTTTTGAAGTAATTATATTACAGAAATGGTCTATTCTCAAATTCCTTAGAATGATGAATGGTGAACGGTAAATGCTAAATTATACAAGCCCAATTTTTTACTAATTCGGTGAGAATTTCGCGAAAAAATTGAAATATTCAGTATATTAAAATTAGGGACTGAACATTCCTCGTAATTCATAATGCGAACAGCGCAAACTCGTCTCTATATATCTGTTTTGGAACTTTTCTTCTTATTTCATAAAATTTAAACAATTGCCTAACTGTCTATTATACCTTGCTATTAGGACAATTAATGCTGTCGTAGTTCTAGTTAACTACTTTCGTACTTGAACGTAGTTCAGCCGCGTAAATTACTACGATAGAATCGATTTGTCATCGTTTAAAGACGTTTGAAAAATTTTTGTTTTCAAAATTTTACGACCAAACGTATTTAAATTTTTCAAAATGTTCTTAACAATCTGAAGGAATTAATTGTCGAAGTGTCGGTTTTGTTTCTTTCAAATCTCTTTTCGAATCTCCAGAATTTTCACCAACTGACTGACCGCACTCGAAACATTTTGAAATGAAGCTTGCTCGTACATTCGAGATTATTATCAAAACTCTGTTGGATGTTAAAGCTATCTACTGTTGGATGCAGTTTTTTTGAATGCTTAAATTATCCACAAATGTATAAACACCCGCAGTCTGAGTCTTCTCACCACATGAAGGACATTATCAGGGGACGTGAGATTAAGCCCATCCAATAAAACGATCGATCCGATTCGATGCTTCTGTATCGCGAGAGCATCGGGTATGTTCGGATTAACGGCCGATTGTATCGACACGGCGATTCCTTCGTTCGAGAGACATGCGATCAAAGGTTTGGTATACATAAAGACACAATCTGTAAAAAAAAAAAAAATAAGAAAAAACATGTTAGACATTGGAATTCATTGGATATGCAAGAATCACGGTCACGATTTTTATGATTCGATTGAAAGAGGTAATATTTTCGAACATAAAAAGAAACACGGTAAGTGATTTATATTATGCATTGCAATGTTTTATAATATCGATAAACTTGGCGAAGTATTCTGTCAGAGAGACTCGAAACGAAGACTTTCCTATATGCCATAATTTTGAACGAATTTTCTTCGAAAAAGATTTCTGCTAGTAATTTGCTAATAACAGAAATACATATTTTTGTGATGGTTTCATTAAGATGCCTAAACTTTTCGAACAATTTCGAGAACTTATTTAAAGCCGAAGGAACATATAAAAATTACCTAATACTTACGTACCTAAGGAGGTAAAATTTTCAAACAGTACTATCTGATCCCAGCCCTTCCATTTAGCAAATTCCAAGATTAATTGCAACGTCAACGGTGAGGGTAAAATACATGTGCTCGTTACCATGTAAAATGTCGCCGTCACAAAAAGTTTCATTTTCATTTTTTTTTTTTTTCTTCCTATGAACCTCAAAAAAAAAAATGAATTATGAGGTCGTAAAAAACTTTTTTATTGCCATCGAAGCTCGTACAGGATTATTTACTCGTCAATAACTAATTGCGATAGTTCTAATATCGTGTTCAACCAACAATCTCTGACATCAAGAAAATCTTATTTAACAAAAGAATTCTTTTGATGACTAAGAATTCATGTTCGTTTAATAGAAGAATCTTTAAATACATAAATCGCGCAGAAAGTCACTCTAGAAAATTTAATTTTTTTCTGAATTCTCTGACCTTTTTATTCAAATAATAATCCCGAAAAGGAATTGTATACCACTTTGATTATTAAAACTAGTATAACGTGTCAGCGAATTGTATATTTTAAAACAAACTTTGAACCATCGTCGTACATAAATCTGCGTACTTTATAAATCCTTTGTTTAAAAAAAATTGATAAAAAATTCATAAGTTATTGTTAATTCGACGAATACTGCGTAAGACCGGAAAATGGCTATTTTTATCGAGTCTATCGATACCTGTATACGAAACACGAAACACTTTGGACAACGATCGAACGTAGACTGAGGATCATCCTATTTGGCATAGTCTTTTCGTCCTTACCTTCAACGCATGCGATAGAACTTACCTCCAGATAGAGATCTATTGTTGAATTAATGAAAACGGATAACATCGCATATCTTTAATGAATATTCCTCTGTAAATACGAAGCGACAGTTAGATTGGAAATGCAACGCTTTCTTTCAGTTTCTTACTAGAATAGTAGATTAATTTAAAACATTATTCCTTGAACGAAGGAAGTTCAGACTATAAATTTCGAATATTAAGCAGGCAAATTTATTTCGAGGAAGCATGACTTCAGATAATGTAAAACAGTTCTCCGTAATTAAGTGACTCGTACATCTTTCGATATGTATCACGTGAAATATGAAATTCATGTCATTTATTCCACTGGAAATGAAAATTTCATTTACCGTTGATAATGTAAGCAATTTTGTTGCCGTTTTGCAAAGAAAAGAAACGAAGTTCGCTGATTAAGTCCTCGGGAGATTGAAAGTCTGTTGACAGTGAAAGTACGTACAGTCGTTTATCGAGATTTCAAAATGATTTCGCGGGGGACGAGGATGATAATGGAGGAATCAGGTTACGGTGTTTGAAAAAAATCAACGCGGCGGGCACATTATTGACGCCTGTAAGTGCACCAAACCCGTGAATGAGGACAATGATGTGTCGATAATAATGTTTATCTCGCGAAGCGACAGGAAATCGATGGAATTGATGCAATCGATTCGACCGATGAGAAGAATCGCTGCTTTCCGTGAAAGTTTACTCGTGAACATTCTTCGTAAACGGCAACGATAAAGAACATTGAAGCTCTTTTCAAAATTTCGTTTCTTAAACAAGCAATTCAATGTTTCTTTAATTCATGATATTTTGTTAATCGATGTTTCCTGAGTTTACTAATTGCTAGACTGCAGATGTTGGTGCATTTAAAGTGGAGAAATATGTACAGAATGCATATAGTATGCGAAAATATAAAGAATCACATTTAAGAGATGAAATAAATTTTTACTTAAATTTCATTTATGTATCGTTCGTACACGTAGTAAAATTTTATGCGCAATATTTGAATGTCGAAACGACTGAAACGATTTTATCTCTATAAAACTTCAATTTAATGTACAAGATAAAAATTTATATTTAATAAGCATAAAAGATAACAATTTATATTTAATAAACATAATAAATTTAAAATTCCAAATATTAGTCATTGACATTAATCGCTATATTCATAGCATTTATTCTAACTATTTGAACTATAATTCAACAAATGGAACATAGACGCATATCACATCAACGTGTAATATGATCTTTGATTCGTCGAAACGGACGCAAACAGTTTTTTGTGAAAGCTCATACATTTTTATTTTTACTAAAAAAGATTAGATATCCTATTCATGTTTTATCCAAAAGATAGAAAGAGCATCTTCTTTGGAAAAATGAAACGCGTCAATTCGTGCGAAGTACGTCAATTCGTTTCATTTCTTTTGCCAAGTTTTCTTAAAGTTTTTCTTTAGTCTCGATTGTTTTAAAATCACTTTGTAATTGTCAAACAAAAAAGATGGAGGTACATAAGAGTCAATCTTATCTATTGTAAAGAATAATGTTATGAAAATAAAGGACGAAACTCTCTCTCTCTCTCTCTCTCTCTCTCTCACACACATATAAGTTCTTTTTTCGCAGTTGCCTCCTATTTTATATTGTATATAGCGATTATTGGCTAAAATATATTCTAGCCTATAGTGTAGGATAACAGTGCAAATATCTTTTTGAAATTATTCAATTCAAACACATGCTCAATATTTGATAGTAAAAAAAAAAAAAAAAATGGTAGATGATCATTGTGTAATTCAGATGATAATTTGTGTTATCGAAATACGAAAGAGATATCCAGTGCGTCACCTCGTCACCTACAAGCAAAACGTATGTTAGAGAACAAGAATATAAATGTTAGTTATAAATATTTACAATGTGAATGTTTACAATTATGTACAATAAATCTCCTTTATAATACCAAAAAAAAAAAAATGACAAAATTTCAAAAATTTCAAGCTTCAATGTTGAGTTTTCTCGCTGTTGAACAAAATTACTTTTTGTTTTGTCTTTTTTAGATGATTCTATTTCCAAATAAATACATTACGTGATAATATTATGTAAAATATGTTAAATTATTTTAACCATTTTAATTGATTATTTTTCTTTTTGATGATTATTGCGATCAATTTCTCAAAATAATTCAACGAATATAACGACGTTATCTATTAGATATGTGTACATAGTTGTACAAAAATTTATGCTCACCGATTTGTGAAACGTTACGCCATTCACATGATCATTGATTGAACTTTGGAGCTTAGATTAATTTTTACGTTGCTGAAAAACAGCTCGAAGGGCAGACAATACACCACTAAGGTGAAGATCGTACAATTTTATCTTATTTTTAAAATAAATTGTGTTATCAATATTATAGTTTATAATAATTTATTGTAATTTGACGACAGATATAAAAAAAAAAAACATGAATGTAATAGGAATGCACTATGCAATATGAATTATTTTTACTCATTTTCTTTTTATTTATTTATTCATATAATTATGATACTATAATTATTATATATAATACGTACAACTATAATTCACAACTAAGCCTAAAATTATGAAAAATAAGTTTATTATAAAAATAGTAATTTGTTTCACTTACCGATTTAATTTGCGTCAATTTTTTATTAATAAGAAAAATAGAAGCCAATTTTTATATCGTAAATAAATAATAATTTATTAATTATTCATTACTATTAATTGTTGGAAAAAACATAAACTTCTTTTAAGTTATGTTTGCGCTTTATTTTTATGTAACAATTGCATCATAATATTACACGAAAGTCCGAAAACATTACGAAACTTAGGACTTAATTCACTTATTAATTATAGAGCTCATATATATACTTCTATAAAAGTTATAATCTAATATAATATATATAATTATAGTAGTAATATAATTATATAGTAATATAATCTAGTAGTAGTATAATTATATAGTAGTGTAATCTAGCAGTTATAATCTTCATTGCTAATTAATATTAATAAATAAACAATTGTTTAAAATATTATGTATTGTTATATGTTTTATTTAATGAATTTGACTTTTAAATCGTATTATTAATGATGTATTTTTCAAAATAAGTACAAATCTATTCATTTACAATTTAAATACTCTATGATTCATCAAGGTTATAAATTACAAATTACAAAGAAACATGGCTAAATGACAGGATTTGACTGTCGAAATAACTAACTCTCTGTAATTTAAAAATCTTTTAAAAAGACACGAAAAGTTATCTTAGAAAATGCAGCATTCGAAATTATAAAAATGCACTTTGTCCATGATCCTCTTACAAAAAGACTTACTATTTGTTAAACAAGAAATAACAATAAAAGCTGGATAAGGAAGATATCAAATGATTCCTAACAATTTAATAAGAAACTTACATTTTATTTTCTTTTATCTACATATAATTACTATATAATTTGCAATTATCGCGATATCGAAAAAGAAGCAAGACGTCATTTTGTAGAACGTTCTTTTTCGATTTTTTGCCATTTGTAATTAAGACCAATTTGTAATCAAGCTGAGCAAAGAAATTCATACAAAATTCGTCCAATATTTCTGTCCTTGTCGACACCCAGAGGAATATTACATTAATAAATTACATAAGAGTAGTGTTTTTTCTTTCTCTCTCTCTCTCTCTCTCTCTTCGATAGAAGAATCACGTAGGCATCTGCCGGTAGTCACAGGATGAACGCAAAGGAACGCCGCATCATGGCGCCACTAGTTCTTCCACCTAACGTTCAGTGTACTTACGTTTGCTTGTGTGTTTGTTGGCAATCCTATTTAGGTCTTGCCTCATGGTCCCGGTGTTTCAGTCTTGCTTTGTTGTCAATCACGAGTCTAATCGTGAGCGATAGTAGTATACCTCGGGGGATCAATTTCAACGATTATAACAGGAGTCTCGTGTAACAGCAGTAATTACAAGCAGTGTCTGGCTATACATTGTGCACGTACCGGTAGCGGGAAATCGGCGACATAAGGCGAGTCAACCGTTTGTCAACTTGATCAAGTAAAAGAGGTTAACCGGCAAACAGGCATCAAGGTAGAAATAAAGCCAACAGGTATGTTCTCCCTCCGTCTATTTCTATTGCGATCGTGTTCGTCGTTAAGAATCTACCAGTAATTTTATATTTGCCAAAAGTAAGAATTTCGAAATTTTTATAAAGTATGAGAGAGGGAGAGAGGAAGAGAAAAAATACTGATTGACAGTCGAAACAGAGTTGGGCATATTTTATTCGAATGAATAACGAATAACGAATAAAATACTGTCAAATTTATTCGTAAATAACGAATAACGATTTTATTCGAGAAAGAATTATTCGTTATTTACGTATAACGATTTTATTCGAGGAAAAATTTTACGAATAACGATTTCGAATAAAATTTTATTCGAAGAATTTATTCGAAATGGTATTCGAATAATGCCCAACTCTGAGTCGAAGTTAATTGGAAAAATCTCTTTTTCCCATTAGTGAATATAGATAAAAGAAATTGCTGTGATTCCTTTCGTGTATTTCCCAATTTCAATTACCGGTCATTACAGCGTCGCGTGGTTAGATCTCGTATTTTTTCGTTATCTAAAAGAGTTAATCTCAAAACTGAAGTATAGCACTTAAAGAAAAATGAAATTGTCCGTATTTTGCAAAAAGTCACTCAGACTTCTAGAATACTGTTAATTATTTTTATGGATACTTACGGTTATTTTGATCGTTCTCGATATTAACGGTCGAGCTGAAGTCGCGTTAAATAATATACCGTTAATTTTAATTTCACCGCGTCCTGACTGCCGGGTTTTCTCTCTCTCTCTCTTTCTCTCATCTCACGCGCACTGGAGAACTTTAGAAAAAAGAAATATCTTCGTTAAAAAAATAACAAGCGCTATTCAACTTTTCTTTTTCTATGAACATTCAATTGG